CGGGCTAAATACTTGGGAGCAACCGGTGGAGGGGGTGGTGGCGGGTTGGAGGAGGTCGGTTTGTGTTGTGGTGTTGATTGGTTTATCTGAGCTCGGTTTTGTGGTGCAATTGGAGCCCCAAAATTTCAACATAGATAATTGATAATAATAATTAGAGATGATTGATAACAAATAGGGTTTTGCGACTTAGCATTTGTTTGTGAGAGATTTTTTTAATGTAGAAAATGCCATTTTTTTTTTTGTTGGAGAATGGGTTAGAAAGTAAAGAAAAATTATGATATCAAAGAAGTATGATTGAAAATGATTTTAATGAAAAATGATCGTGAAAAATTCTCTCCCAAACAAAGCTTTGGTATAGTACTTCATTTTAAGACAGAGTACTCAAGATAAAATGATAAGACATAAAAATTATCAACTATCTATTTACATTTAGTTTAATTTAATATATATAGAAGATGGTATTATAGTTTGACAATTCTTACAAGAAACCAAAATAATTAGAAATTCAACAATTTCCGTACATAATGCATATATGCATTTTTTCTCTCTTCTGCACGTTCAATTGACGCAAGTTGAATTTTATGATGAAATAAACTAAACTAGTAAAAAGACATGAATATTACCGTTTTATAAGGGTTCATGAACTTTTATGTGACACTCCTCACTAGTAAAATTTGAATGTTTATAATGCGTTGAAGAATAATGCTATGTATACGTTCGGGGTGACACTCCTCACATGGGCAATTTGAATAATTAATTTGATAGTTTGTACTCACATCACAGGAGATTAAAAGCACGTCTAGACTCAAATGAGAAGAGTGATGCTATTCATCCAAATTTTGAAAAAGTCCAAATTGAGATGCTGAAAATGTAAAAATTTCAGCACAAAAATGTATGCACCAAGGAAGTAGAAAAATATAAGCTAAAGAAATCATTAAAGTCAAACGTTAATTTTAATCAATATATTGTCATGATATAATTTTAAGTGCTTGCGAATATTATGAATATACGAATAATAATAAGATAAAGGACTAATATATCTATTTGAATAGTCAATTTGAACAATTTACTTTCTTGAACACCGATTTACATCATTTCTTGTATCTATTTAGGTAATCCACTGCAGAAGTAGAGAGGGATCAAATCTTTTTTGAATAGTTTCTCTTTCTAAAGCATTACATTTATAAAGACATGAATAAACTAGTAAAAAGACATGAATATTACCGTTTTATAAGGGTTCATGAACTTTTATTTTAGAAACGGCACGTAAGCAAAATATGTAATGCCCTAATCATTTTAATATAATCTTATATATTTTAATGAAATGTGCAATATATGAATATGAATTTCTGAAATTAATTCATTCATGCAAAAAATGCAAAGTTCCTTTGCCATTCCTGATACAAAACATAAGATAAACTGAAAGAAGGAGAAAAATTAAACCAGAAATCAATGTAAATTTTGTCTTAAGATTGTGTTTCTCGAGTATCGATTTCTCACTCAAACAATCTAACGATACTTACTCTTTTATATTAGTGCAAATGAATGAAATTTGAAACACGAACAAAATGATCAACGTGATCAAAACAGGAACCAACGATCAACGTGATCAAAACAGGAAAAAATTTAATTTGAGCCCACCTAAACCTTTTCTATTTTGGTGTGATTTCTCTATCTTTTCCTCAATTAAGATAAAGAGGTGCACCGATATAATTTACCTTTCATAAGTTTGACAATAGTTGTAATGAAGAGAAAAATTAACATTTCACTAAACACGCTAGCCTTGTAATTGGGTCAGTTTGACAGGCTTCTACTTCTTTTGGTAGAGCTTCCTGGTAAACTTGCCTCTAAAATATTATCTAGTTGGTTAGACATAACGGTTTCAGAAAATTATTCAAATATATACAAAAGAAAACATCTTTTGACTTTTCAAAAAATCTTGCCAAATGGTGATGTGTCATTTGCAATAAGTTGAAGTTTATGAATCTTCTTGCTTTCTGCCTCATCACAGCTTTATGAATTGGTATCTACAGAGCTTCCTTAATTTTGTATAGAGAATTGCTGACATGGAGAATTAGGGAATCCAGCTGAATGGTAGAAAACGTCAATGCTTTCTCTAGAATATCCTCTCAATGTACAGCATCGTACAAGCTTATTGTAGGAAAATATGATAACCAGTGAACTAATACCACTTGTAGGAAAATATGATAACCAGCGAACTAATACCAGAGTTTGGTTTCAGAAACAGAATTACAACAATATAGAACAATAAAAAATGAATTTTTAACCCGAGACTTGTGTTACACACAGTTTCCTTAAAACAGATTCGCTCCCTCACCGTACGTGATTGAGGTGTAATTTGAGCGTCTGCTTCCCATGATACAATGGTAGAATAGTAGAATCTGAGCACAACAGATTTTACTCTGCCGAACTGAGTTAGAGCCTGAACAATATCACCACCAGACTCAAACAGAAACGAGAACAGAGATAAAACTCGAACTGTATGCAG